CCCCCCCAATGCCGGTCTCCATGAAGATTGTGCGATTTGAGGAGTGAGATGTAGGGTAAATGCTTAGCCCATGTGGCCGCTCTTAAGTTTATTGCATGAGGCTAGACCACTAAGGTGGTTTTCCTAGTTGCACCCAGGGATAACCGCTTTTCTGGCATGGGGTAGTAGCCGTGGAGGTAAAGTATAGTTCATTGCCCATGAGAAGATCTTGGCTTTATGTCCACTTCATGGATATGGGAGACTCCTCCCTAGCTTGCCCCTGGGGCCTTATGGCTGACAAGCGAAACTTAGGGTCATCTGAACTCCATGCCTTGGGGCTTGGGCCTGCACATAGGATGCCTGCCAAAGGATTTGGAAACATCTGAAGTCCCAAGTGGGGTGGAGGATGTTTGCTGGTAGTAGGGCCACTTATGGTTCTTGACTGACTCACATATTTGGAATTGATATGGCCGATTTGGATCGGAACACGAAAAACTCTCTTAATATTTTTTTAATTTTTTTTTTTTATTGCGTGAGGCTGGTGCCCAAGACAAGGGAGCTCGGCTGTTGCCAGCAGAGTGAGGGAAGTGATTATCCTGCTTTATTCTGCGCTGGGGAGGCCCCTTCTAGAGTACTGTGTCCAGGTTTGGGCTCTCAGTGACAGAAAGGATATGGACAAGTTCAAGAGAGTCCAGCAGAGGGCAATGAAAGTGGCTCAGGGGCTGGGGCACATGATTTATGAGGGAACTGGTCTTATTTAGTCTGCAGAAGAGAAGACTGAGAGGGGATTTAATAGTAGCTTTCAACTTCTTGAAGAGGGGTTACAAGGAGAATGGAGCTGGACTGTTCTCAGTGGTGGCAAATGACAGAACAAGGAGCAATGGTCTCAAGTTGTGGCAAGGAAGTTAGAAATTAGCAAGGGAAGTTAGAAATTAGGAAGCATTTTCTCACTAGGAGGGTAGTAACACACTGGAACAAGTTACCCAGAGAGGTGGTGGAATTTCTCTCTTTGGTGGCTTTTAAGACCTGACTAGACAAAGCTTTAACTGGGATGATCTAATTGGGGTTGGCCCTGGTTTGAGCAGGCGGTTGGACTCTGACCTCCTGAGGTCCCTTCCAACCCTAACTTTCATAAGATTCTACGAACTGTGTGATAAGTCCTTTGCATATATGACTGGTCTACATTTCTTGTGCGATTCACTGATGAATTGAGATAATCCAGGATACCTGGGATCTCGAGCATATATTGACAATATTTAATAGAAGCAGGATGTTGGCTGTAGTAGTTCCCTTGCTTTACATGTGGCAGGTTGGGATGTTAAGTCTGTTTTGCGTCAGGGTTGATGGTAGTTTTATGTTGAGTTTAGATGATGGATTGTATAGAATGGTTTAGCTAGGGCTGATTCTACTTCAGGCAGTGGGTTGGACTCAATGACCTCTGGAGGTCCTTTCTAGCCCTGCTTCTCTGTGATTCTTGATACTTTGCACATATGGATGGTCTGAATCCAGCATGCAATTCACCAGTGAATTGTGTACTGTCAATAATCTGTAACAGGGGCCTGAAAGGTCTGAAGGCTCCTGCTCAGCTTCTTGGGTGTATTATTTTTAAACTGACCCTAATGTTTAAGCAACTACTTTTATTTAGCTGCCTTCTCTCCCACTTGGACAAAATTGATACAGACCTTTCAACTGAGTTACCCTGACACACAAAGCACCCCAAGAAGGCCTCTAATACTTTCCCAGTGCATGCCCGGGTGTTTGGGGAGGGAAGGGGGGGTGGCTAGACTGTTTCATAGAGCCTCTTTGTCTGTTATTAGATGGGTCCGTCAAGTCCAGGGCAAGCAGGTTTGCTTACAGCCTCTGCCAGGCCCAAGTTGGTATTGGCATGAGAAGTGGCCCATTCACTTTCATAAAAGTCTGTCAGCTCTAGCACTTCAAATACTTTAATTGTCCATGCTTTGTCAGTCATCTGCGGGGTGGCTAGACTGTTTCATAGAGCCTCTTTGTCTGTTATTAGATGGGTCCGTCAAGTCCAGGGCAAGCAGGTTTGCTTACAGCCTCTGCCAGGCCCAAGTTGGTATTGGCATGAGAAGTGGCCCATTCACTTTCATAAAAGTCTGTCAGCTCTAGCACTTCAAATACTTTAATTGTCCATGCTTTGTCAGTCATCTGCAAATGCAACCCC